CCGCGATAATTTTGTTCTCCCTCGTGAATTAAGGCGCGCTCATGAACACTCTTCTACGAAAGAAAGAGGGGAATAGTATATACCTAATCGTGTAGTTTCTGTTTCCTTTTGCCCACCTGACTCGAAACTGAACGATCATTGAACATTAATCGATTTTACACGTAGTGATCGATGTCGACGAGTTCTCCGTGACGAAAATCACAGAAGCCTCGACTTTAATTTTCACGGAAAATCGCCCGACTAATCCGTAGTAAAACTGACGTTTTCGCAACTATAACTCTCAATATTCCCGAATTTCCTACGATAAATGACCCTCACCCTCAGCTCTCCATGTTACACATCAGGACTCGGTCCTGCCGAGGGTTAAACCTCGGATTATATCTTTCCCGTGGGAGAAGAGGGATAATTCCAGAACTCGGATAATTAACCATAGTGCGCCGCCAACGAGGGGCTGCGAAATGCTCGACTATTTGTATCTCTCTGCGATGAACTGCTTTATAACTTTATAACTTACATATAAATTTATGATTCTCCAAATGTATTCTACTGATAAACTTACGGCGTATGTATATATGTACCATCCGTTACACGTTTACTATGTTTAATGTCCAGAATGAGAATACATATTCTTAACAATCCGCGATAAATCATCGTACAAAATCAAGAAGTTTCGTGAAAGACGAGGCATCGAGAAAAGGGCGGTTTCTATTCCAGCCGGCCGGAAACGACTGGTCGTTATCACGCGGTGAACATCGTTGACAAAACTTACAACGATGCTTATCATTCGGCGTCGATCGCGTCATCGCGGCATCGACTTTCACGGCGTCGCGTCTGGTCGCATCGCGGCCGTTCGATTGGAAATACTGAATAATGGAGGCGAGGTATTCGAAAGAGATCTCGAGCGAGAGTATTCCAGTAAGAAAAGTGCCGCGGGATCTAAATAAACGACCTGATTATATACGTGCGGTCTTGAGATTCATCACAGAATGGGTCGAACTGCGAAAAGTCATTTTTCTGACGATGAATCATATAGTACTAATAAATCTCAGTAAAGGTGAACGCGCGGTTCCAAAGTTGAGTTACGAAATCAAATACTTAATTTTATTATGGCTAATTATTTATTGTATCATGGCTCTTATTGTCTTTGTCATTTTCCTCTGAATCTTGGATCTATATGAGCTATTTCTCTATGTGACAATATCCGCAATCTTTGATGAGAAATATTTGAATAGAATGCATTAAATCTCAAAAAATGACATATTTTTAGCGAATAAACACACATTGACAAAAATAGTTATTAAATTTTAATACATATACTTCTTTAAATAGTACTGTAAGTACTATTTAAATAAATAGTACTTATTTATTAAATAAATATTTACTCAATAAAAAAGATGGAATTAAAATAATGATTTTGTATCAAATAAATATGTGTTTATATTTAGTAAATATTTACTCAGAAATATTCAAACAAATATATATATATATATATTTATTAAAATATTTAATATTTATTTAATACTTTTTTCAGTGTAAAATGTAAAGCGATTACCTATGTTCTAAGCAATTTTATGGCATTAAAATAGGTTTGGATTTAATATGTGCTTACGCGTAAAATAAAATATTCTTTGTATACATAGAATTTGGATGAAATGGAAATAGAAAGTCATTGTCATTTACGAGAAAATTTCTCTCTCGGGCTAAAGAGACAGGTGCAAAGAGTTCATTCCTCGATCTCCTGTACTTTCAGCTGGTCTTCTAGTACTTGCGGTCGAACATCGACATCCGATTCTCCTTCCAGATACTCCGTACGCGAACTTAAGAAAATCTGTGGCTTCACGGAACTACGGACACAAAGATCTGCGGTTTTGGGGGTTCAAGTAATCGAGGATCCGTGGGATCAAAGATCTAGCGTATCTCATGACTTCTTTTTGAAGATAAGAGGAGTGTCGTAATTTCTTCCCCTTTGCGCGTTGTCTCGAGAGTAGAATAAATTTATCTATATATATACACGATGGACTCTTCAGTGGCACCGTGGACCGAGGAATTCGTGGACTCTTTGAATCCGATAGAACCGCGAATCCATGGTGCTGTCGAGAACCATGAAATCGGAGAGCTCCGAAACCGAGCGTCTGTCCATCCTTCAAGAATACCGGCCACGTCCTCTATCCCTCTAAAGGATACTGAATAATGGAGGAGCGAGTGAGGAGGGCGGAAAGGCGGAGCGGGGGGGGGGAACGACATCTCACGAGTTCTCGAGAGGGGCCGGCCGGCGTTCGAAGCGACGGCGTTGGTCCCGAAAACGCCGGCCAGAACGTAGTGGATGCTAATGCGGCCCTAAGCAAACGGGGATTTCTTTTTTCTACCTGAAGTCGCGCTCATTGCAGGTGGATGAAACGTACGTCTGACGTGTGTGTACGAGCGACGACCATTTCAACTGTCCCTCTTCCCTCCTACCAGTTCATCCCATCCGTCAGGCTGCCGCGTGTGTGTGTGTGTGTGATATGTACGCCGCTGGGTACATGTGGTATGTCTATGCCTGTATGCGTGCGTACGTGCGCGTCATGTATGCGTGTACGTGAGTGCGTGTGTACGTGCATGTGTGCACACGACGTGTGTTTATTCGGTGCCCGTCCGTCCGGCCACCCGCTCACCGTCAACAACGAACACGGCACGTACGATCGTTGTGTCGGCGACGGCGGTTCTACAGGGTGTCTCGTACAATTCGGGACTCGAATCGCACGGTTCCGTATGTCTGAAAGAGCAAATAGAAGAGAAGAGCGACGACGCGGTGAAGAAAAATACCCTCGAGATAGCTCTTTCTTTTTTCTCTCGTTCTCTCTCTCTCTCTCTCTCCCTTTCAGACGGTGAAATCTAGGGATGACTTTGTTGAAGTTGGACTTTTTGGCAAATACACATTACGAAGTACATTTAATTTAATCTTAAGTTGAGGTTTGAGAGAAGTTTGGAAGATTCCAATTTAACGAGATGTTAAACTCGCGAAACTCGATTGATCTACGCTTAAAAATTTCAAGTTAAAATTAACCGCTTGAGAAACATGGCGTTTGATGAAATTCTTATCAAGACGAAAATTCAGGCGTGAAAAGCAAGCCTAATTTCCTTCGATTCGATCAATGACTTTTTAAATAACCGCTTAATATTTAAATTAACTAAAAGCTTTTCTCCGTTTAAGATGAATTTATGTTAACTGGATATCGTACAGATTTCGCCAGAAAAAAAAAAAAAAAAAAACACCCTCTACATTAAAGATCCATTTTCTTTCTAGATAAGAGTCATCAAATATAATATGCAAAAAGATGAGAGACAGCGATTCAAACTCGCGTTAACCGATATCATGCAAATGCGAGTTTTAATGTCGTACGGAGCGATACGGTGGCTTTTCATTGTGCTTTAGAGACACCCCATGTATGTGCGCGGGGAGACAGATGTACCCTATGCCGACTATGCGCGCTATAGACCCACCCGCATGCACTTTTAACGATCGAGATGATAAGTCGCGCGGAACAGAGCGAGAGAGCGGGCTCTCTCTCTCTCTCTCTCTCTCTCTCTCTATCCTTCTCTCTGCGGATTAAGGTGGCTCCACATCGAGGCGAACAGCACCGCCCGGATCATAATCCGATATAGCCGTACGCCTCGGCGAAGGAGGCGTCCGCCATTTAGATCGTTGTCGTTGTCGCGAATGCGCCTGCGAATTTACGTTCTCGCCAATCCGTTCGCGAGGAAGAGTGAGCGGTTGGAAATCAGCGTGGGGTGTCTATGAGGTGTCTACATGCAGAATGTCTAAACTGCCGCCTGATGTTAACGTCTTCAGCAGACGGATATCAAAAGAAATAAAGAGCTGCTTGTAAAAACGGTCGCGCTATATGACGTATATATATCGACGATATCTGTTTATCTACATCAAAGTCTGCGTTAGGATCGTTCGGGTCGAAAAAAAAGGGGGACCGAGGAAAATTACTTCAGATTATTATCAACCGCGTGCGGCGAAAGGACTCTTTGTATACCCAAGTCTTTAGCGTTTCTTCGAATTTATAACCGGGGGAGGGGACTATTATATCGCATCTTATTCTCGATTAGAAAGGCCTGATCTTCTCTTTTCGCTGTTCTGTAGCGCAAATGTGTTCGCATATGCAATCGCGGTAAAGATACCACGCGCTTTCTCCGCCTCTTGTGACGCGCATCTCTCTCTTTTCGCATCTACCTCTATGAACTATATATAAATTACACATGTTCGCAAACGAAAGTCAAAGTGATAACGTTCGTTAATTGCGATTATTAATCGAACTTCCTTCAATTTATACGAAAAAATAGTTAATCTTAAAATGGTCGGAACTACAAGACAACTATAAATTATCACGTTATAAAGTATAGCTGTTTTCTTAAACACAATGGGAAAGAAGAGAAGGAAACAGGAGGACAGAGCATAGCCATAATAAGTGTCGCCTATGCCGACTATGCATCGTCTACGTAAATTACTGCGTAAAATGATAGTCTATACATAATCTACACGCCGGGGATGCTCGGCGTAAACAACAGGCGTCGACAACGAGGATTTTCTGTTGAATTTTTGATCGTCGCTGGACGCGATCGTTGAACAAGTTCTCGTTATTCTCCATGCTATTATGAATTACGCTTTATCAGCAAACGCGCGTATTGAGATATCAAGAAAAAGCCTTTAAAAAAAAAATTCCCAGCATCTTCTTAATTCTGAACTCACAGTCCTCGAAGGTCGCGTCTTGACTAATAGACTTGACTCTTCCTTCCCCTCCCCCCCCTCCCCTCTTTCATCAAGTTCTCTCGATTTTTATCGATTGCCTGATAAAGAACGGAGGAAGGAGACGATTCAAGAGCAGACTCCGAGATCGAAATTCGACGCACGTTCGCAATCGATTTTGCGATAGCTCGATCGCGTTTTGCCGCGTTGTTGTTTACGCGTAGACATCCATCGGCGCGAAACCGCCCGGACATCCGGCTGTCGTCTAACTTTGAGGCAGGAGGGCGTGATAACTCGGCGTCTCGTAGAAGCCGGCGGCGGCTTGGAGAGCGTGCAGGGAAGTCGCGTGATGCCTGTGTATCGTGCTCGCGTATACGCTGGAGACGCCAGCCGCGGCAGAAACGCCGTTGGAAGCACCGAAGATGGATGAGGACGAGGAAGAGGAAGCCTGCTGACCGATATGCGAGGCCGTTCGCGACAGCAACGTCACCGACGGTCGCCTATAGGGGTGATGGGCGATTGCCGAGACCGCCGATGTCCCGGCACGATGATGACTGCCCGAGCTCGAGCTCGCGGCCGCGATATTGCTGTATGCCTGCTGATAAGTCTGTCGTAGAATACCGGAGATTGACGTCGGAGACGTGACCGACGACGAAGAGGAGGAACTTCGATCGCTTTGGTGAGGTTGATGATGAAGCTGATGAGTGGTAGTGGTACGATGTTGCTGCTGCTGTTGCTGCTGCTGCTGCTGCTGGCGGTGTTGATGATTGTGGGCGCGCATGGCGCGGAAGTAATGTTGATAAATACCTGATATGACTGCCTTCTCGTCGGCGGAGATGAGGTCGGCGGTACCGGATGCCGTTGGTGTTACGGGTCGTTGTTGAGGTTGTTGTTGGGGGTGATGCTGCTGCTGCTGCTGCTGCTGGTGTTGATGAGGGGCATGAGTATGATTTCTGTGATGATGATGGTGATGATGATGAGGTGGTGGTGGCGGTGGTGGTGGTGGTTGTGGTTGTTGTTGCTGCTGCTGCTGCTGCTGCTGCTGCTGTTGCGGTTGTGGCTGCTGAGGATGATGCCGTCGCTGAGATGGCTGCTGTTGCTGTTGCTGCTGAGACAACGTTGCCGCAGCAACATTGAGCGCCGCGCGATACGAGGCTGCAGCCATGGTGACAGCGGACATCTGACCGCTCGTGGATATGAGACCGCTACCGGAATCCGCGGCAGCTACCACTGCCGCGGCGACCGAGGACGATGCGATAGACGTCGCCGGTGACACAACGGAAGCGGATACAACGTTGGAGGAAACGACGATGTTATTCGACGGCGGGACGACCGTCGTTGTCGTTGAGGAAGTCGCCGCAACCGCGACCGCTGCGGTAGCGACTGTCACGGCGGACGCCGTCGCAGCGCTCCTGCGACCGTTCCTGCGGGAGGCGGACATAGGCGTCGTCGTCGGCGCCGCCGGGGGCGGCAAATTATTGACGAAGGGGCTCCTCCTCTCGCGCTCGGCGCGTCGATAGTAGCACGGATGGATCATTAGGAGGGGCTCGCCGCCACCGGGCGGTGGCTTCGCCTGGCTCGGGAGCTCGTACTCGACGCTGCAGTCCACGTGGAGCGGCTGCGAGTAGTCCTTGTATTCTTGCACCTTGTAGCTGTTGATCGCCACGGCGGCAGCCGCGGCGGTGGCGGCGGCGGCGGCAGCAGCGGCTGCAGCCGCGGCCGCGGTAGCCGCTGCGCTCGTCGTCACCGGGTTGGCGTTGACCGTGGCAGCAGCGTTCACCGACGACGACGACGGGTTACTGGAAGCGGAAGCAGCTGCGGCAG